ATACATACATATAAAAGCGAAGTGTATAAATGCTAAGTGTCGGAATGTCGCATAACAAAAGCATCACGTCCTAACATTTCTCTGTGGGCGAGCGAAAGGCATCTGATTATTGATGATCAATTCCATGTGACTGGCCAAGTAATTGCTTTTGCAAAAATGATGTATAAGAAAAATCGCTTTCTAAGTGTTAACTTGAAAATAAATAAGAGAAACAAATACAATGATGAAAATTTTCAAAGAATTTCAATGCTAAAGAGAAGTGTACAAAAGTTGAATTTTTTTTTTATTGTCTGTATGTATGATTGTGTTTACATATTTTTTCAGCCACATTTGTGGCCTTTACCGCTGCCATTTGTTGAATTGGCTGCTGTCCACTTAAGTGATTTTTTATGGAGCATAAAATTCATATTTCACTGCATTCGACTTGCTGTTGAATATGTTTTTGTTTTTACTGCATTTTTAACATTTCAATTCGAGTATTTTATTTATTTACTTTGAGACTCGAATTTATCAAATAAATACTTAGTTAATACAATTATCTACATGTATTAATTGCAAGAGTGACGATGAGTTGAAAGAATTTCCCACGGTATTCGTTCTTAATAAATCTGTTAACAGCTTGTAAATGTTTGTATGTATGCATATACATATGCAATTGTTAAGCCACTTGCAGGTATGGTAAAGTCCAGTTATGAAAACCTGCACGGTATTTTCATTTTAAATGCTTTCCAAGTAGTGTTGCCGCAATTATCTTATATTTTATACCAAAATCATCAGAAAAAGTTACCAAATTCAACAAGAAAGTACTAAACTTATTTTATATGCAGAACTAAGCATATATACATATACTTGTAAATACATATATTCGAAAATACTGGGGCGTTATCAAATATCGTAAAAAAACAAAGGTGAAACCCCCGACGAACTTCTCAGGCAATCACTGATTTTCGTGCTTTAAGCGCTCTGTTGAGCTATAATTTTTATGTGGCGCGTGCCTCGAAAGCCACAACACCAGAAAAGCTTGGTGTGGATTTCAAAGCTATACGACATTTCCACGCTACGTAATTCACTCTCTCATTCGTAATTCGCACTCCCATTCGTCATTCGCCATTCAATTACCACTCGAATTACATAATTGGCCATACAAAATGTTGAGAGTGAACCACCTCATTTGTTGGTAATTGATGCCGAACGGCGAACGAATCGGTACCTTCTCTAATATTTGTCGGAAATATATCGAAGTTTTCACCGGCCTAGTCCCATTTGCTGGCACATTTTTTAGTTGCTGAAAAATTAATTAAGAAAATATTCTCTATATAAAATAAAATCTTTCATGCCAACTTAAATTTTTGGTCCATCTTCGATATTTGTAGTACAAAAAAATACTAATAAATACCGAAGAACAAGAACAAGAAGTAGAGCTGCCAAACGAATTACGATTGTGTGTCGTGGAAACAGGGTAATTCACGAATTACTTAGCAAATTACTAAGAGAGCGAATTTCGAATCGTGGAAACGTCGTATTAGTGTGGTCGAAGAAATGAACTCGTCAATTGCTCGTCGTTCTCAGAAATTGCCACTGTCTTATGGCACATTAAGGTATGTTTTGCATTTATATATGNCTCGTCGTTCTCAGAAATTGCCACTGTCTTATGGCACATTAAGGTATGTTTTACATTTATATACATATACACATCCGCATAAAGCATTGCGTTCAATTTCAATCGCTGTCACTATCTCGTTGGTGTGCGCAATGCTTAAGACTCACACCACAACACAACTTAACCCTACTTTGATAACCATACTGAAAGTTGCTGAGAAGATATAAATGCGTCTGTGAGACCTGTCATGCCAATATAAATTTTATGAATATTTTTTACCAAATATTGGTTTTTTAAATATTTATTTTTTATTTGAATATTTTTTCTTAGTTTTTTTCTTAATTTTGTAAATGAGAATACGAAAAATTAAATGTCCGTATCTAACTCCGGAGTACTTGCAGATCAACAGTTGTCAAGTTTTGGCTAAGACACTGCGGAATTTATTTCAACAGGTGGTAAGAAATATTTCAAAAAGTTTAACGCTTAAACGCTCTAGGATTTACTGAAGCTTTCCTAAATTGCACAAAAAATGTTTACTTTTGTTCATTAATGAAAAGGTTTGGTTTGGTTGCCGGTTTCACCAGCAATTAAATGAAAAATAATTTTATCTCTTCCGACCTTACTCAACAAATATGTAACACCGAATGTATGTAAAAAGATATCAAACTGAAATATAAATAACACAATTACCGAATTTAATAAAGAGAGAAAAAAATCTACAGTTTTAGGAAAAAATTATCAAAACAGCAATTAGCGTGTTGTTTAAGGGAACGAAGAATATGCCCTTTTCTAACAAAATAAACCATAAACCAAATATACCAAATTTGGTTGAGATCGGTCGAGAAGTTTTTGAGATATGCATATATCAGACAAGTGGGCGGTGCCAACCGCATTTTCCTAAAATTTCTCAAAAAACTTTTTGCTAACCAACGACTGTATATATCAATTTTGATTAAATATTGATGAACTCCTAAGCCACACTGCTAAAAAGTCTCAAATTCCGGTACAANAACTTTTTGCTAACCAACGACTGTATATATCAATTTTGATTAAATATTGAGGAACTCCTAAGCCACACTGCTAAAAAGTCTCAAATTCCGGTTCAAGGCCGTACTTAAGAAAAGTCGCCTAACTTCGACAATTTTTATGCGATTGCAATAAATGAAGTATCAGTTTATTTGAAAATAGATTTAATTTTAAATAGTACTCCATATTTTGAAATTATAGAAATTATCAGTGGCCAAAATTTAAAAAATTAAGAGAAATAGGGTTTTTTTTANCAATAAATGAAGTATCAGTTTATTTGAAAATAGATTTAATTTTAAATAGTACTCCATATTTTGAAATTATAGAAATTATCAGTGGCCAAAATTTGAAAAATTAAGAGAAATAGGGTTTTTTTTTTAATTTACCCGATAAAAAATCGCAACAAGCCAAGTCCGACAATAGACTATTATATATCATTTCAAAGGCCTATATATTCTCTTCTCAGATCATACTCGATCTATGAAATCGAATCGAAAATAGTCATTATAAAACTCATAAATCTACAAAATCGTATTTCTGACCTAAATCGACAGGTCGCGACCTCTAAAGGACCTTTGAAAACCCTATTAAAATAGGAAACAATATTTCTCATAAAAACGAATAAAATTAGGGGGTAGGGTCTTGAAATAAAAAAAAAATAGCGTTTTCGATGGGCACCCTAATACACACACATATCGTCACCTGAAATGCAAAATAACGTAACAACATCACCACTGAAATGGAAAAAGTCGTGACTTAATTTTTTTCATAAAACGAAGTGCGGAGTTGTAATTTGATGAAATCCATCATAGCAATCAGAGAATGAATTATGAATTTTTTATAAGTTACGACTCTTTGCACTTCAGTGCCGATATGTACTTAAGCCAGGAAGTCAAAAATCAGAGACCTAACAAATCTAAATCTCTAATCTAAATTTACCAAATATGGAAGCCCATTGCAAAAATGTGTCGAACTCCATTTCTATTAAAAGTAAAATTTTTGCAAAAAATCATCGAAAAATGGGCAATGGTGATTACGTTATTTCCAAGAAATGTTTTGCCCTTCAATGGTGCAAAAGTGTTTAATATAACACTCGACCAATGATGCCAACAGGGGGGCAATTCCCCGATTTTGGTTGAATTTGAATTTCTCGGTGGAATCCGGGAATGGTTTAAATTTCGGGGAATCCAATATACAAAATGTTTATCAGAATAAAATTCGTTCGTAAAGGGCAAATAAATGTTAAAACCTACTTGAGAAACCCCAAATATGCTTGAGTTTGTTTGGTCGGTCGAAAACATAGCTGTGAAGTCCGTATGCATTATGAGAATTTCAAATAAAATCTGGTGAAAATTTGAATAATTTTTACACAAAGTCTGAAATTTGGATTCATTGGGTTTTGTTAAATAATGAGCTATACTTTTATAAAAAATTAATATGCGGTAAACAAACTAAAGAAAAATATTTCAAACTTGTCAAAATGTCGCGAAGCTATTAATTTGTCCGACACTATTTGTGTGTTTATTATTTATTTTAACTATATATTCATAGTATTTTCATATTTTTATTTTATTTGTTTAATATTACAAGCGATCACGATACTGTAGAATTGCGTACTATTTGCATACATATGTATCTATGTATGTATGTATATATTAAACTGCTCCTCCATCTATAAAAATGTATTTATTGTCTCATTAAATAAACGTCCATATACATACACAGCTTCGTTTAAAGTACAAAACCGCGTATCGTCATTTTGCAAAACCGCGTAACTGACATTTTCTGAGAAAAATTGGATTTGCTCACACAAGCTCTTGGCTCAAGCCTTATCCATTCGTCCCGAAGTATACTATCTAGAAATGCGATTGCTTTATAAAAAAGAGAACCACATTGAAATGTGAGTGTTTTTTGCTCTCTAGAAAATAATTTATGCAACCTCACATACGCGGTTTTGTACTTTCAGCGGCGATATATATGTATGTAAGAGCAGTAATATCTCTCACCACAAGNTGCTTTATAAAAAAGAGAACCACATTGAAATGTGAGTGTTTTTTGCTCTCCAGAAAATAATTTATGCAACCTCACATACGCGGTTTTGTACTTTAAGCGGCGATATATATGTAAGGGCAGTAATATCTCTCACCACTAANCGTCCCGAAGTATACTATCTAGAAATGCGATTGCTTTATAAAAAAGAGAACCACATTGAAATGTGAGTGTTTTTTGCTCTCTAGAAAATAATTTATGCAACCTCACATACGCGGTTTTGTACTTTCAGCGGCGATATATATGTATGTAAGAGCAGTAATATCTCTCACCACAAGTATGTAAGTAAGTACTTATGGGCATTTACGTGTGCGCAAATATTTACCTTAACTGTGGTACGCGTTTTCCGCCATTTGGAAGTTGATGTGGTCGTCTCCTCCTCCTCTCCGATTATATTGTTGTCTTCCATTTTGCGCGTACGTGTGTGTGTGTGCGTTAAATATGTAATCTAAAATGTTAACTACGACACTTATGTGTACTTTGTATGATTAAGTGTATGTATGTGCTGCTTTTGTTTTTATGCACCGCTGTTGGCTGATGTTCGACGTGGCGTATGATATGTGCATATATCCTTTTGTAAATAAATTATGTATGTTTGTAATCCTTTCTGCATTTAAACGCAATGGTGTACCGTTCTGCCCTTACAATTGCTCCTGCCTGTACATGCTAATGTGTGTGCAGTNGTGTGTGTGTGTGTGTGTGTGTGTGCGTGTGTGCGTTAAATATGTAATATAAAATGTTAACTACGACACTTATGTGAACTTTGTATGATTAAGTGTATGTATGTGCTGCTTTTGTATTTATGCACCGCTGTTGGCTGATGTTCGACGTGGCGTATGATATGTGCATATATCCTTTAGCAAATAAATTATGTATGTTTGTAATCCTTTCTGCATTCAAACGCAATGGTGTATCGTTCTGCCCATACTATTGCTCCTGCGTGTACATGCTGATGTGTGTGCACTGGCATATGCACGCAAATATAATCCAGCAATTCTTGCTGTTTACCTCTTTATTTCGCTTATTATGGCATTTATGACACAAACGATCACACATAAATACAAGCGTTGATATAAAATGTGAAAATGCAATAATATTTAAAAATATTTTTTTTTTTCGATCTTAAAACCTTGAAATATGACTGACTGTAGCTGCCATGGGCAAGGTGAAATATTTTTGTCGGATTTGTTGGAATTTACTTTTCAAAAAATTGCACAGCTTCTTTTGCATTTACTGGGTGTGTTTCACGTTATATCACTAATTGGCTTAATATTGCAGCTCAACATTTTTTTAGATTACTTTTTTTTATACGAACTTTTTTTTTTAATATTTTTTTGCTTATTTGCATCAACAAAGCATATCACTTGCACCTGTATCACACTGAAAAATGCAAATAGTGTAAAAACTAAATGAATACGTGATTTTAATTTGANTATCACTAATTGGCTTAATATTGCAGCTCAACATTTTTTTAGATTACTTTTTTTTATACGAACTTTTTTTTTGAAATATTCTTTTGCTTATTTGCATCAACAAAGCATATCACTTGCACCTGTATCACACTGAAAAATGCAAATAGTGTAAAAACTAAATGAATATGTGATTTTAATTTGAATAAAAAAAGAAATGTATTCCATTATATTTAAATGGAACGGCAGCTCCTATACATACAAATACTTTGGATGAAAATAAATTTTAAATGATACATATATTTGTATTATATTTGAAACCGTTATTTTTCACAGTGACATAATGCTAGCTGATGACAATAATTTGCACCGCAATTAAAGAACAAAATTTAAATTGCATTCACTTTAATTTATAATTTCGCATAAATCACATTTTACACATTTTTAGTTTTTATTTTGGTACCACTCTCATTTTTTGCTTAGGATTTTATCCAACGATATGCACAAAATATTACGTATAAGCTAATAAATTATATTGGCTTTGGTATGTTTTAAAGTGGAAATTCAAAGAAAATGCTAATTTTCATCACAGCTTCTTGAGGTTATTCAGATTTTTTTAAGTTTTTAGAGGAAATATGTTTGTTTGAGTTTTAAAGCTCACAGCTTATTTATTTCGAACTAGTATTTAGTTTAATTTTTACTGCTAAAATTGTTAAATTTTTTTTTATTTATAGTTATTTAGACACGCGATATTTTTTGTTGCATACATATCACTCGTTTGCTTTTAAGTTTTCAATCAGGTTCTCCTCTTCATCAAAAATAAACAATAATTAAAAAATTTTTATCCAGGTGTCAAATGTATCGTCAAACTATAATTTAGTTCGATATTTAACTCGAAGTCATTTGAATAGCACACCTTTTTGATCCTCCTCGGTTTTCCTTTGTTTGTTTAATATTCATTAAGTTTTTATAAAAATTTAATATTATCTACGTGTAAATCCGATTTTAGAATATTATAAAAAAAGGGGTGCGCTATCCTACTATTTGCTGCGCATTAGTTAATAATATCTAAAAAAATTTGCGGTATGTAGTTTTGTAGCTCATTAAATTTTAGAAGTTTTTTTTTCATATAAAAATTTTGCCGAACATACTTTGTATGGAAGAGAATATGCTTTAATATGAAGTTTTGCTTAATTTTTTACGCGTTCGATGTTCGAAAATTTTTTTATATCAAGAAAATGTCCTAACTACTTGCATACTCAAATTTTTTCTAAGAAATTTAATTAAAAAGCTCCAATATAATTTATAATTTTCCTAATATTTGTACGAAATTTGAAATTTCGACTTATATGGCGTTTATAAAATGTAAATAAACATTTAAAACAAAAGATAAATAGGAAAAATTTGTTAAAATGTTGCGTCCCTATTTTCATATATATTCGCTACTGTATTTTTAGAACACTTTAACCTTCTAAAAGTCAGTTTTTGAAAACCGGTTCAACACGACTCAACTACAGCTAGGTTTCCGAAATTAAAAATTATATTTGAAGTGGGTTTTTACCTTAAACTGGCATGTTTTCAAATTGGATTTTTGATCAAAAAGTGGAAATTTTGAGTCCCTATAAAATTGTGCAGTTGGCATGAGTTCGAGCAAAATCTTGTCCATGCTAGTTTTGCATAACCTTTGTGCCCTACGCTCCATCAGCAACTGACTACGCAAACAGAGTGGCCGATTGCAGGCCCTCAGTTAAAGCGATTTTATTATTTCTATTATTATTTTTATTCTGTGTGTTATATATTTATTTTTTCTTTATTACACTTTCGTTTGTTTTATTTTATTCCACCTTTTTTATTATGAGTTAATTCAAATTTTTAGAGTTTAATTTTGCTAAAAAAGACAACAACAACTAACTAAAAACAACATTATAAATAATTGAATGAACAAAAAAAAATTAAATGAATATTCTACTGGCCGTGGGACTCGAACCTATGACCTCCTGGCTCGTAAATCCGCATTACTGCCGTCTGTCTACTTTAAGACTCTGGCTACACGATTAACAGCTGAGGGAACAACTCCAGCGGCGCGCCGCTAGGGGAGGCTTGTAACTGAGGGCAATTCCTTTCATGATTTTTTAAATTAAAGCAACATCTCATTATAGCGAATTTTGTCACTTGTATACATACAAATCTGCGAAAATTTCCACACACGTTTAAGCAATGCTGCTATATAGGGTAAAATGTTTTGACTAGCTGTGGCGAAATGTTAAAACCAGTTTGGCAAATAAAAAATATCAGTTTCAACAGAGCAACGGCTTGCTTTTACTTTGAGGTAAGTTCAGTAAGTTATTTTATTTTTTTCGACCAAAATTTTTGTGATAAAGCATAGTTCACTCAAAATCGGTAAGGAAGCAATGGTATTTCAGTAAAGCACAAATGTATTTTAGAAAAATATTTTTAGAATACAGTTATGCTTTTCTGAAATGCATTTGTGCTTTGCTGAAATATATTTGCCCTTTTCTCAAATACATTTGCGTTTTTCTGAAAATAATTTGACCTTTTCTGAAATACAATTGTGTTTTTCTAAATTTCATTTGGTTTTTTCTGAAATACATTTGGCCTTTTCTGAAATACATTTGCGTTTTTCTGAAAATCATTTGACCTTTTCTGAAATACATTTGAGTTTTTCTGAAAATCGTTTGGCCTTTTCTGAAATTCACTTGACCTTTTCTGAAATACATTTGTGTTTTTCTGAAATACTGTTGGAAAAGGTGTAGTGCGCCTGTGTAAAAATACGTTGATAAACATCGTTATCTCAGTCATAATTTGGCCTCATCGATCCGTTCGATAAGAAACTAGGTTTCAGATAAAGCGATTACAGTTCATGCTATATCTTTATTCTGCTGTTGGTAAATATAATAAGAGTCGCATCTTTAAATGATTACTGAACGATTTTCTATAAAAGCGTGCAAATATTGGGGTTATTCTTTATTCTGTCCTTCCCAAGCTGTNTAAACATCGTTATCTCAGTCATAATTTGGCCTCATCGATCCGTTCGATAACCAACTAGGTTTCAGATAAAGCGATTACAGTTCATGCTATATCTTTATTCTGCTGTTGGTAAATATAATAAGAGTCGCAGCTTTAAATGATTACTGAACGATTTTCTATAAAAGCTTGCAAATATTGGGGTTATTCTGTCCTTCCCAAGCTGCATACAGAGAAAAAGAGAGTAGATCTGTAGGTACAAAAGGGTAATACTTTATGTCCTGTTAAGTAACAACAGTAAGCGAACTCGCGGCACTGTTGACAGTTCTTAATTCGTTTATTTGGTAACCACCATTAACAACCGATAATAATGTAAGTCTTGAAGTCAAAGGCAGAGTCACTCTTTTGCCAACGAGTGCTACTTTGGACTCAGTTGGCAACTGAGAAGTTTAGTTCACGCGTTTCGTTCGAAACCACACTCTATAACTCACTCATTCCGCCAATGCTACGGGTTTGACGTGACGCAGAAGGAGCGGTAATCACAACATCCGGGGAAGCGACGGCTGGAGTAGTCGAGTGAAATTTTGACGTTGACGACAGCGAATGCTACATATATGAGCTTTACAACAATATATGCACATAGGCATAGTTCAGCGAATACAGAATACAGCGGCACCTTTATTTCGGCAAAGCTTTGCGAATTAACACAAACATTCTAGATACAATGGTGGTTTTTAGAAATGAAATGTCCTCACCTGCATACGAAAGGCAGGTGGAGAAGGACTTGACATCATTGGGCATTTACTTTTGGTATTTATTTTAATTGGCACAGAAGAGAAAATACTCGCGTTATTTATTGGACTCGCCCAAAACACTGTGCGAAAACCGAAATCAGCCTCGCCTTTGCTAATATTTTCTAAAAGTATACATATCCAGTAAAAAACACACCATGGATTTGCAAAAGTTAATCCTCTCACGACCTTCCAAATGCGCTTTTTGAGGGGTATCCCGAAGTAAGGGTCAAAAAGACCCTTTCAGGCGGGAGCTAATGGGCTAAAATATTCTATGAAAATATTTACATGTAAACTTTAGTAGGCCATAATATAAACAATACGAGTTAACTTTTGCAAATCCATCGAGTGTTGCTTGGGCAATTACAGCGCCAATTAAGGTGAAGAAAAGTAGCCGCGCCGGTGCCGTAAAGCCCACAATGGTTAGAGTTGAGTTGCGTTTTTCATACGAGAATTTTGCACTGAGTACTCATTGGCTTTATATTCCTTGATAATGCTGTCACGCCTTTTTAACCGACTTCAAAAAAAGGAGGAGGTTATCAGTTCGTCGGAGTATTTTTTTTTTTTTTTTTTTTTTTTTTNGATTTCGATAATTCTTTTTGCATCGGAAAGGTAGTGTCTCAGAGGTGGTCCCATACTAATCTGGTTGAGATCCGATCAGTGGATCATGAGATATATTATATATTTGTCTTTTTTTATACGGGAGTTGAAGTCTGTTTTTTTTTTGCTAAAAATTACTTGTTACTAAATCAGTTCCTAATTATAGAGGATTGTTTCTTTTAGAATATATGACTTTTAGTGTCCCTACTAAGAAATCCTATTAAGGGTAAATGCAGTAATCATTGCAAGTTTTGTGATAATTCATTTCACAGACCATGACTGAACTATTACTCTATCTACTGAATGGACTCATAAATATTACCCGTTAGTTGAATGGAAAACCT